TGTATTATAGGGTCATCAGGTTGAGCAAGTCACCACCAGGTTCTAGCGGAGGTTATGTTGTAAGCAAGCTTGTCCATTACTATTAACAACTCAGCGCATCCTACGCAAATGTATTTTTATTTGCGGGACTGGGTTTTAAATTATTAAGTGTGAAACGTGAAAATTTTGGAATTAATCAGTTAGTCCATAAATGAAGCAAAAAAATTTTGTCTTCTTTGTTTCACAACCGGTAGTATCCCACTGGCTACCGAATGGACACGAACAGTGTCACAAAAAGCTGCCATTGCCATTGGCCGAGGGTGCCCACCTATTTTCAAGATCATTTCAGTATAGCCAACCCATCAGCATTATATTTCTGTCTGCGTCAAAATTTACAGGCCAGGTAGATAGCTGAGTACTATTTAAAATGGGATTGGGAGCAAAAGCTGTCAAAATGCACTTTAAGCTCTATCGTAAATCTTGGTGTAGTATCAGATTATTAAACCACTCTGCCCAGGCTAGCAAAAGCAAAATCAATTCAGTTTGCCTCCGCCATCTTACTGCATTTTTGGCTTAACTTATGTTTCCTGCAAGTGTCCTGCCCACTATTTAAGCCAGGAAATGTTAGATTTCCAAAATCAGGCATCTTTATTTAACCTTGGTCACTAGTCCAAAACCCTTACGCTTCGTTAGACACAAAATCAATCATGAAACGTTTTAGGTTCTGAATTCCTTCAAAACACGTCGAATTATTTTGCCCCGTTTTGTTGTATAATTTAATGATTTAGTTTGCCTGTTCGCTTATTTATTGTGGTGTCGATCGAATCCTGTTTTGAGGCTGTAGCAGGGATAAAAAATTAAACTATGCGAGTTTAAGTACATACATCTTTTGTGTGTGGTTTCCCAGGACAGAATAGCTCGGGAAATAGTTACCAGAAACGGTAAGGATCCTCATTGTAGAACAAAAGTTATTCCTCATTGCTGCCCACCGGACTTCTCTGAATATATCATCCAATTTATGAAGTAAATCAACCATTCCTGTAGCACGATATTTGTTATTTGTCAGTCTTACGAAAACAGCATGCCAAAAGTGGACGGATGCTCTGTCAGGATAAACTTGGGTAACCAAAACTTCAAAATAGCCTTCAATATCACGGGAAGGTATGTGATTCCCTGTAGAAATACACTAACGAGGAATGTCGTTGTATGTGTGGTGTGCGGAGGTGTTTATTGTGTACAAACAGCGTCTATTCATTATTTTGAAATTTTTTAGATTAGGAAAGGTATGTGCACAGTGGGATAAAGACGATCCAATTATTCGAATGACTGAACCAGTTTTTGGATGAAATCTGTCAGGTTGGTTACTTGCCATTTTCTTACGGATATGCGGTTTGTTCGAAGTCTGAGATTGGATCAGATCATGCTGACAAGCGCTGTGTATGCGTGGGTCAAACTGATTAGTATTCACCAATTGACAAGCCTACGCACACCTTCACGTGGTGTCAGAAGCACGCTCCAGCACCAGCAGAGATCATCTATCTGCATCTACTCGGGAACATGTATAATTTGGGCCATGAAAAGCTGGAAAATTTTGTCAGTGAATAAGTGCACCACCAGTCAGAAGCAGTACTGCGCTTGTTTGAGGTTACGAGTGATTGGCGTGATAGCGAAATTGGGGGCAATTAGACAAGGCTTGTCCTATGCCCAAACCTCAAGCAGAACAACTGAAAAATTTGTTTCAGCGCTTTCCGACTCTTCCTTTTTGGCCATCTATAAGAATCCGTTTTTTATGGTGATTAGATTTCAACTGACCTCGTGTTATGCAAATATTAGACCTATGCATAAACCTCACACCCATAATATAATCAAGTAGCATTCTGTTCTGTTTGAACACAAATAAAAAGTGTGCGGACATTTTAGAAGCCTGTGGCGTATGGAGATTTGGCAAAAGTTGCAGTATATTATTAACACTTGATATAACGCATTGAATTTGATGTTTACATGACGCGATAGGTGACTTGAGCGAGAGAGTGCATGGTGAATTCGATGTGACGTCCTTTCCGATAAGAATGAGAGTGAAAACAATGAAAGTTACAGGGAATACGAAGTATTTTGAAAATCATTTGCCATCCTAATATTTTGTAACTTCAAAAGCTGATTCTTGTTACCTCGTTCGTGAATATGAAATATAGTTTACTTAAGCTATATAAGCGTTTAACGCTATTTGAATATAACTTCTATCCTGAAAATAGAGTTACCAGCGAGTAGTCTTTAGTGAAAAAGTGTTGGCCGCAGCTCTAAATGCTGCCTGCTCGTCAATGAAACTGCAAGCTAGCTAAATGTTTACCTGTAACGGTAATTTGATCATACCTCTAGTTCCGGAGTCTCTGAGCGACTTTACATTCAGTGGAATGGAAAACAACTACAGAGTTAGAATTCTCATAGCTTTTGTTCCGGAGCTATTTCAGTGAGTGACTTCAAGTTCGACCACACTGTTTCTCATCTTAACGGCAGTGGGCTCCTTTTTGAAAGATAGCGCCATCCATGATGGAATAATAAATATTTCTGATGCGCAAGGTAGTCGTATCAGAGCAGAAATATTTGTTGCTGACCGTGTGGCAAATTTAAAGTATAATCATAATCTTAGGTCATTGAAGGCAACACGTGCTCGAAGTTTTGTAATTTACTCCAATTATCCTTGGGGTGATACTGAGACAGATGGGAGGTGTGATTTTTGCTAATCTTCTGAACATCACAGCTCACTGATGCTGTAGATATTTATGACAAATAAGTCTGTACGCTTCGTTTACACTGGTCAATAAATTAAAGATTTCTTGGATGCGCCCTGATTACAGACCGCTCCAGGACACGTGGTCCACAGTTGCATTCCTTTGTTCTGGTTGTTCTCCTGTTTCATCCAAGCTCGGGTGTTTATCCCAGAAGTCTTCGGTTCACCATATCCGTGTTTTCTCGTGATGAGAACGGTCGCCATTGTTTTGCACGAAAGCGAAGTGTACAGCATAAACGCTAGTCTCCTCTACTTCTACATATTATTCCACAGTGATTACTTTCTCCTAACTTTTGTAGAGTAGGGTTCTTTAGTTCTGAAAAGACCCGGATCATTTCAAATCATAGAACATTAGAAGTCTTATTTTGTACGTGAACTCGATTCAAATTCGATAACGTGGTGTTTTCAAAATGTTCTGCACAATTGGTTAACATAAACTGGATGTCTCATTGCCAGAATGGCAACAGGTAACACGAGTTTGACTCTACCGAGGTGACTTACAGTACATTGCGACCAGTGACGCACGAGCATATTCGTATGGAGTCTTCCGCTTAGTAGTGGAGAATTAGTACATCAAATCGTTGCAGGGTTGGTATATATTTAGCACTCTGCCTCAAATGAAGTCAATAATCTATCCACATTTAGACTAGTTGTGAGTTCATCAATGATTCTTGTTTCCGGCTTTGAAGTTTTGAGCAACACAATGCAATTTACTATACAACATTATGAGGATGAGTTTTCATGATTCACCCCTGACAGTGTCAAGCTCGCGGTCGTTCAGCAAGAATTTGGTTGTCACGTAAAATCAAATATACACTTCCAGTATTTTTAGTGATGTACGTGTGGTTAAGGTCCTACATGATTCGAACTACATGTTCAGTAACCACCGGTAAGAACTTCATATTTATGTATATATTTCTGTAAATACAAGCTGAAGTGTGTCACACTACAATTTTGGACTGGATGTAATTGCGAACCAATGTGAAAGTGTCCAGACGAATTCTGTTTTCACTAATGATAGCCAGTTTTGGCTTTCCTGACAAAATAACCAAATATGGCCTGCTGGTTGTTGGTCTGATCACTCCGGGAGCTTGGCTAGCGGCGCTCAATCATGACGCCGCAGGAATTCGACTTTTGTAAGTTGGCATTCTTCAGAATTTGAAAAATGTTGGAATTTCTAAAAATCGAGACGCACTAACAACGGAGACTGGCTCACTGACCACGCTTACAAATATTCACATACTTGCTACAGGAATGTTCATTCCACCGGCTGGAATGTTGGTTGACTTCACTTCCTGATGTAGACCATGCAAATATATAAACACCATAGAAGCTGCAAGTCGTTCATAGTGGAAGGACACCGAATCAACTGAGTCACAATTTTTATGAGTTACACTGAATTGGAAACGAAGGTTGCTGAGAACAAGTTTGAACGCAGAAGCTTTTTGCCATCCCGGATATGTTCATGTAACTCACCCTCTGCTTGGATAATAGTACTAAACAATATGACGGATAACCGATTTCAATGTCCGTCCGTGCTGGGTGCTTGATATTTGTGGTGGGCCAGACCTGGACTTTCCACACTACATGTTTTCTCTAGTTTTAATTGGATAGCTTTATTCAGATAGATTGACATGGTATTGTGGTATTAAAAACAGCAGTGTGCTGCGGTGTTTAGTCAATGGTGAGGTAATGATGTCGCTAGTGATGAGACCGTTCCCCAAATGTCTTGTTACCAATTACAATTTGATCACCACAGCGAACTTCTTCATATCAAGTATGCAATGAACGAGTAATAAGTGTAACGACTACCGCTTAGTAAACAATTTTTACTTCTGAACCCAGCTGATTTTCACCATTGACCACTTATTGTATTCTATCACGTGAAACCAATGCTCCCTGCGTCGGATCTACTTGGGAAAACTTAGAATATCACCTCCAGCATACCTGGTCTAGAATTAAAGTGATTCATAGTTAGAGGAAGATCATTTACATTCTGATAGGTGAACAAAAAAAGACGGGAGCATTCGAGAGTTGTCTGGCCAACATTATTCGGTCCAACAGTGAAGTTTACATGTTTTTTTTTGGGTGAGATCCCCGGGAAAACAATTATATGGAGTTCAAAAGAGCGGACAAATGATTTCTGCTTCGCGTTTCCCAACAAACTTTCAGAGTTTTGTGCTGAACTTTTTCTCTGGTGCGTAACTTGATCTCCGCACTCTTTTCTTCAAAGGTACACCGATTTTCCCTGGAGAGGACGAGGCAGATCAACTGGCAAGAATAATGGAGCTAATAGGAGTTCCACCTAGAAGTATGCTGGCAGCTTCTGGAAGGGCCAACAAATTCTTTACACCTAGCGGTGAACCGCTTTATGCACTTGACCAGTTAAGCGGAGCAGGTTATTTCTCCGATAACCGTAACGGGAATATCCAGGCATCCCACCCTAGTTCGGCACGCAAATCACCCAGAGAAATACGAGGATTGCCAAACTCCATTGATTTATTGACAGCCCTAACAATGCATAAACGGTCGTCCGTGTGCTTGCCTGGGGAAGAAAATTTGTTCCGCCAGCAGTCTCGCTCGCTTGTAGGTCGCGTGGAACCGGTGGATGCGGACCTACTGGACTTTTTAGGCAGATGTTTTCAATGGATACCCAGTCACCGAATGAATCCCATTGAAGCGCTTAATCATCCATGGATCACCAAGCGCCGCACCATGTCTTCGGTGGATAAAAAACCCACACATTCTCCGCAGTTCAACTCGAACGGAAATGGAGGTATCAATGTTCCGAATGGCCTCAAGAAACTGACTAGCATAGATATACCAGACTCTGTCAAGGCAGTTTTTGGGGACACAGAAGAACTACTTCGTAAGATGCAGAATGTTCGAATCAGGAAGGGATCGCTGCCATTAGAAGACGACATAACACCAACACGACGTTACAGCGTAAGTAAACCAGTTTGTCGGTCCTTAAAAATCGGCTTTGTGAGCTTGATATTGCCTTTTGTACAAACACCCGGTTGTTTATCAAACAACATTGTGACTGCCAAGATTTCCATGAGGACTGAGCAATAAATTACAAAAATATCCAACACTTTGGGGTAGGACGTTATCTTGTTACGTTAGGCCTGGTTTAATCTGGTGAAATCTTGAAAAGTTAAGTCTTCCGTCATCATTGCAATAGTGAGAGGATTCATCAAGGATCCATCGGCAACAAAGCTTCAAAAACTCCCCATTTGATTAGAAGACAGTCGATCACAGACATTGCCACATTGTTATTTGTGTGATGCGGAAAGTGTCTAGTCCTCCGGTAAACAGCTGAACTAATCGGAAAATCAAATTCTCCCCAGTCTCTCTGGAGCGTCTACCAAAGTGTCCGGACCCAGACTACTTACTCACTCACCTACTTGTAAAGCCAGAACATTCCGGCACCCTGCCAAAAGAAAAAATGATTGTCCTCTGCCAGAGAGAAAAGCAACTCCCAGACCAAATAAGGACATTTCTTTGGAGCAGCCGGGGTGAATGGATTTACGGAAGCGCACAGAGAAGTACGGTTTTTGGTTATCCTATCGCCAGTTCTCGCATATCGTTTTCGGTTACTTAATTGTAGTGAGTTATGAAAAAAGGATATAGAATAATGTTTTTAAGGGTTGTCTCGTGCAACGCTGATTATGCCTTAATCCCTATTTTCACTGTCAGTACTAGGTGCTTTCCGTAATGTATGAACCAGTGTCATAAAAACCGTTGGGTTTTATTGATAGCAGCGCTCAGTTTTTATGGTGTCGTAAACATTCCTATTTTTGGTTGTGGCTGGCGTTTATATGACTATATAATTGTTGGCACAAAAGAGGCTAGGAGAATTTAATTCAGCTTTTTGTAGCACACAGTGTCAAGTGATCGGCGTGACAGAGGACTCACATCATTGATGATAAATACGGTAGAAATAGGAGCAACCAATATTTTAGCAGTAACAGAAAACCTCTAAAATTTTTCAAGGCCCTCTCTAATCCAATTCAAACGTATCGATGATTGGGTCGTATGCGTAGATTTATCTATCCACATTTCCATTCAGAGTCCGCTCGCGAGTTAACTAGCGTCAGGCTACGAGTTCGAACCAGTACAACCAGATTTGGGTGTTGATTCATCGGTGACCAATTACTCCGACGGCCTAGCGCGGAAGTTTTCCAAATGAAATAAACTGTCAGATATATGCAACATTTTTTTAAAATGGCAGTTGGTGATCTATTAAAATTATCACCTAAGCAGATTTTTTGCAACAGAAGTCTGTTCTTGAGGCTACAACGGATCGAAGCGGGAGATTAAGCAGTATGGGGGTTTCGAAAGCCAATATTTGCAGCGACTACTGAACTGTCTGCAATTATTCACATCAGTGTTTCCACTGTGTTCAGAGTTTTTCAAATAATTTGCTTTTGATAAGTCGTGAAGAGAGTGGAATTCCCGCTGTACATGCTCTGTGAATGCTCTGTACATGCTCAAAAGCGACATTTTTCGAAATACAGATACTCAAATTTGTCTGTGAATGGCGTTCGCGGCTGTTTGGGTATACAATAAAAATTCAATGTACGGGAATTTGCACCGCTATTGTATATCCACAAGAGAGAATGTCCTCTTGGCTTTTGTTTGATTATACTCGCACATATTTTGTCGTGTTGTTAGGGTGACCAGTTAGCATTGTAGATTCCATTAGAAAGCGTACGGATCATTTTTCTGCTATTTACAAAGCAGTTAGAATAAAACCAAAGGAAGTAGGTAGAAAATATATCATGAACCAAACAAACGCATTGACTCTACCCATCTGGGCTTGCCTGTACAATCTTTCTTGAGTTTTATTCATTCATAAGTGACTGTTCAAGAGGTGTTTTTTAATTCAGCCTCCTCCCAGGTATGTTACAATTGCGCGGGTGGGCTAATGACTTGAGCCGCAAGATAGCTCTCTTTTGTTATTACTTTCAAAGCATAATGGTGTCAATTTGCAGAACATTATAGTTTTGTTCGTTGAGTTATGTCGTATGTGATGCTTCAGTAAATATTGCAATTTTTAACGTTACAGCAACTTTCACGAGGAGAGCGAAGTTCTTCAAAAGGCATTCGGCGATTTTCCTCTTGTCAGGAAACTATCCGTCATTTAATGGAACCTTTAGATAATTTGGAATTCCCTCGTAAGTTATCCTCCAGGTATTATAATCGTCCTTCTAACTCGAGAAATTACCGGGAATTTCTGAGTAATGGCGGTGACATATACCCGGACGTTCATAGTTCACCGATAAAACGCACAGAAGACGAAGTTGACAGTTATCGGAGACATCGACCAAGACGACCATCCAACCGACAACGTGATAGTTTGCTTTTGCGGGTGGACGATTCAAGATCAAGGCGGATAGGCGGATTGTTTGATGGATCTGCATAAGGCTGCAGCTAACTGATAATCAGTTGAATCAGTCTTTCATCAATATTCCTGCACAATGCCTTTCCCTTCTACAACTATGACCCACCAAAAACGACAAAGCCCGTTTACTCTCTAGGCAATGCCTCCCGCCTTCCAACACGCCCCATTCCTCTTCCAAATCCTTCCCGGCTGCTAAATATCCTCAAAGCTGTTTTTATATCCCTGTGGACTTGAATCCATCATGTCAAAGCGTCTTTCCACTTATTTAAAGATATAACTTGTAAATAAGTACACATTTTCCAAACAACTCCACCAAACGTGTCAACAAATGTGTGACCGGACACGTGAAAACAATGTGGCAATGATTTAACTTTAGAATTTGGACAAGATATAAGGCTTCCATGTGCAAGGTTATTTTATTATACCATAATATATTCCTACCAACATGCTTCTTATTGATCTTTCAGTGAGTGTCTTCTTAGCTGCAGAAATATGCCAAGGGTTTTTTAACTGCATCACTTCGATGGTAATCAGACGCTGATTAGGTATTCAGTAGTGAGAGTGAACACGCAAAGATTCATCGGGAAGTAATTCGTTTTTTTAAAACCTACCCATAGCCCAGTACATCTGTAAGAGTAAATACCTGCATCTTTATAAAACTGACAGAATCAAGGAGAGCAATCTGCATTTTCACCTATCAGATTGAATGATACTTTAAACCGCCAATTGATTTGCATCTCGCTTCTCTCCTTAGTTGAAGTCAGAATAGGTTGAGAAGTTAAAATTACTGCACAGATTTTCTTTTTGTTGGAAGTAGTCCTTGAGGCGCATCCTCAAACGTCGGTCGCTGAGGATGGTAATTATCCATATTGGGCCCTTCTTATCTCACGCGTGATGCATTCCCCTCGCCAACGACAGCGACTGAGGAGGGGGAGGGAACTACCGCTTTGTGGGTGTGTTACCATAGCAATGTCCTCTCCTTTCAGGCGAACTACGATGATGCTGACAGGCAAACTGAGAAATTCGTAGAGCTTGGCGCTTAGGAGACCGATACCACAGTATCTGACGGCGTCAGTCCACTGGGATAACCTTCACGAAAGGGGATGTTATAATCGTTCAAACTAACTTAGGTAGCAGTTTGAAGTTTATCTTGTTTATCGTACTTAGCGGAGTCCCATTTTTGGGCTTATGCACTGACCTTGAGCAAATAGTTTTAGTCTGGGCTTTTTGGCCTCAGCAGACCAAGAAGTTGGTTAATCCCAGGAGATTCTGCGTCGAAGGGTACAAAACGGTCATCAATAGAAGGCACTCTCGAACTCAGCTGCTAAGAAACAGTCTTGAGCAGAAAACCGAGAAGCTGATTCCACTGTGTCCAAGACGGTGAACTTTGCAGGTTGATCGATCTGGTAGCAAGGCGATCCATCAGTTTCCGGCCGTTTCACGAACCGGCCTGTAAAAACGTAATAGCTTCAGACTGCAATAGAGTAGATAAATAAATGTGATCGATTGCACCACTGTGAGATTAATGTTATATCAGTTGACAAGCGTGATGGTGAGCTCCTGAATTTTTTATTGACTCTACAAGTATTGCCACTTAGAGGGGAGATAATTTTGTACCCTGTTTAGAAGTATGGACCAAAAACTGAACTCAATTTGCCATACATTTCGGAGATAGTTATATTCCGGGTGGAGAATACATCCTGGAGAATACATCCAATTTCACTCCCTCAGATCACCGAGGCCTAGTCGCAGGATTTACTAATATCGTGTCTGCCTCGTTTCATTCACACTTAAGATCTGGTGGGTCAACGTGAACTCAAAGTCATGGCCTCATTAGACTTATCTCCATGTTCTCTAAAGTGTAAATCAAATAAACCATTGTGAAAGTCCAAAAGCAAGATAGGTTTGATTATTCTTACTGTTTGTCTGGAGAGTTATTCTCTTAGCTAGAACGCGATGTGCATCTTCAGTCCAAAGAAAAGTTGTACCAAAAGTTGGACAGTGCAGCATTGGGATCTCCATCAGGCCGATTCTCGAGGAAATTTTTATTCAACAGGTTTGAGGTGCATGTTCATGATCACGCAGCTCCACCGGCGATACGCAGGCGTTGCGTTCGTCATTATGATGAACATTTTACGGTCATTGGAGGGTTCGATGAATTGTAATTAAGCACGCCGGCTTTTTGTCTTGAATGTAAAAATAACGATTTCACTCCTTTCCTTTCATTTTTTCATTTCCTAGACGTATATATGCTAAAAGCAATTCGTTGACCAAAATAAACTTTTCGTTATCCAGAAAATGCCTTAAGTAGAGCAACATATTTACTTAACTGAATTTCTCCCAAAGAAATCTCAACGAAATATCCTGCTTTCACAGAGGAGCAAATCTGCTGGGAAGAGGAAAGAGAGGCTACACTGCAGTCGTCGGAAAGCGCAATTTATGAATACGCTTAAAAATGCGATAGTTCATTACAAAGAGGAAGACTGTTTTCATGAATCATTCATCTGAAAATAATCCGAATCGACCTCCAGATCACATAATTCAGCAAAACGTTTCGGCCAACCAACTCAAATGATGGTTTCCAGATAATCCACTGATAAATCTAACTGCCAGTCCACACTCAAAGCAAGAAAGCCCGCCCCCTCAATGGCTTATTACATGACAGTTTATACAAGGGAATCTTCTTAGTTGGAAACCCGCTCTAGGGGGTTTACTACAAGTGCGATTGTTGTTTATTTGTTTGACATGAATTGTATGATTAATTCTAATATAACCCATCTAACTAAAACGGTCCGTTCAAAATCGGTCTGGCCACAGCAAAGATACCTGCGATTCAGTCACATGCTCTGATACATCAATGATCCTCTCACGTGAATGGGCCACTCCGGTCAACGGATCCTTTTGTAAAAGTTGTGGACTTTTACTCAGGCTCCGAATCATATTTGGTCTGTTCGCCTTTACTGACCATTTTTTGTTCCATAAATCGCTAATATGAGTTGCATAGAAGAATGGATTCCAATTGCACTAACTTTCTGGTAGTCCTTTGCTCTTTGAGTCGGCTGTGAATACCATATCAGTTGCATAAATCATTCGTTCGAAAGCATTCGTTGGGCTTCTACTACTTTAAATTTATTAAGCTTATTTCCACTGTTTAAGGCTCTCTAGTGATTGTATACAAATATTTGTCCAGAGGAGTATCTGAGCATCCATTTATGTTGGGGGAATTGTGTGACTAATTTTGTATAATATTACGTTATATGTGTACACATGTATATTTGTATATATATGCAAGTTATATATCTTTTATTATGTGGTTTGAGCCAAATATCTGCTACAGTGACAAACACCGCTAAGGCGTATAAGACACCAGCACAGATTCACCATTCACCAACAGTATGGCCTCTGATGGAACAAACGCCTGCGATAGTTACCCTTCTCTGAGGTATTCTGATTGGGATTTGAATGCGCTTAAATTTTGGAATCACTCTCACTAGCGTTTGCGTTTAAACGAATCTTGAAAAGCCCTTGAAATAAAGGAATCAGGTTTCTGATGAATTTATGATTGACTTACCTGATTTCCAGCAAACACATAAACAAATCCTAGTTTTGTTGAAGAATGTTTCAGCTTCATATCCTTAGGATGACCAAAGATGAGGTGCTATGATTGCATCAAGTGTATGTTATGCATTAGTTACGTTTCATTGCATTTTGCGCTCCACAACTTCTAGAGTAATATTGTTCCTAAAGCTGTGACAAATGGTCTAGGTGGCAAACCTCCTGTTATCTCACGTAATGTGATTTATGTGATGCCCGCCTTTATGAGTGCCATCAAAATCTGACCTCCGAAATGAGACATTCATTCGTCATTCTCATCATCACAGATAGCAATACCAAACTGGAACACTGTTGCTCCACTACCGTACAACCGCCTTAGTTCATTTCAGTAAGGTCTTGTAATGGAAATAATGAAGGAACGGGCTACGGAGTGGCAGCTCCAGCTAGCCTGCAACAAGCGCCTGAGGTGTCTACATCTGCAGCACTCAGTCAAACAACCTGGATAGTGAATGACGGCATGAACGGCACTGACATCAGTTAGCCATCATATCGTTCAGTGTTCTCAGTCGAACGCAGGTAGGGTAAAAGGGACAACATCTGAGATGCGAATAGCGTCCAAAACTCCCTTTCATTCCCGTGGAACGTTAATTAGGATTAAGCCCACATTCAAACAACAGAGTCACCATCACGATTACTCGGTTTCACTATAGGTGAAGGCTGTCATTGGAGTAACATTTTTCGCGAAAACTAGATTGATTATTACTTGATCTAGCTGGTTTGGTGCGATCGCACTCAACTTAGTCCCGTTTAGGAAATAGTGTGCCAGTAATAACATTCGTGGGAAAGTTTACCACACACCGGAGGAACCTACGACAGAGCAGTTTACCTGGAGATTTCAGGACATAGCTGGAAGAATATTTCCCAGAAAAGTAGCTCAAATACATTTGCTTAGGGAACGAATGTGAATTAGATTTAATCAAAGGCGAAACTTCTCTACTTTGATTCGAGTTTCCTAAATGTAGTCCAGTTTTTTACTTTAGATGTGTTGGCAAGACATTTGTGTCGAAACTCTGATCATAAGACTCAAAAAATTAAAATACCCACTTATTAACCTAAAAGTGAAATAAATGATTGAAAGTAGTGAGGATTCCTGACGCCGGATCAGAATTTGTGCCTATTTTTGTTTTCTCCGTGGTTCTCCATTTGTGACGATGAATTAAGCCCAAGTACAATTCTTTTTGTTGGGTCTGAGTTTGCATGTTCTGTCACGTAACTTATACATTATTTACAACGCGGCTCAAAAACTTATTGAATCGCTTTTCCGGACTTTGATAAGTGTAGAGAATGTTAAATTCTGTAGTAAAGAGTGGTGCAGGGTCACTTTTAACGTCACTAGTCTATGTCAAGTAAGCGGAGGGCAAGAGTTAGATCCGAGTCTGAAAATCCGGTTATATATATATACCTACATTTGTCCAATCGGACATCGAGCAGCTTGAAATCGAGTCCTTCCGGTCAGTAGTATACAAAAAACGGAGTGCAGATATTTGCACCCATTATCCATAGGCAAAAAACAAAACAAGCTGAATCTAGACATTCCTGGATATTCACCGTATGTCGCACCGTTCTACCTCAAAAGTCTTAGGCAGAATGCCCAAAGGAACTAACAAACGACGGGTAGAACCTTCGGGGCGTGGTCGCCAGGAAAGATACCCTGACTGGACTTTGCCACCTTGCTGAACTAAAGCTGTTAGAACCAGATGAGCCAACCGTTAACTGACTGATATTATTGATGTCGTTTTGGAAAATCCAGTGCTAGTTAAATTTTGTGGTTCGTTTGGCCAGTTCGTTTTCATACATCCATCATTCGGATTTGGTGGCGGATTTCAGG